TGGAGGCCGAGGGCCAGAACCCCCCGCTCTGAGCGCGCTGCCCCGCACAAGCATGCTCCCCGCAGAGCCCTCCCCGCAGAGCCGCAATGCCCCGCGGCTCTCCCCGCTCCGGGATGCGGCGGGGCCCCGCGGATGCTCGGGGAGCAGCGCTCCGGCGCTGGGCTCGCTCTCTGTGTCTGCCCGTGGGTTTGTGACCTTGGGGACTCGAGAGCCGGCCTGGCCCCGCCGCCGGGGCTCGGCCAGCGCGGTGGGAATTGATAGTAGCACTTTACAAATGGTTGAGAAATGGAATTTGAAGCCATTTTTTATAAATGTATTGCACAATACTAACAAAAGTGCTTCTATCAAAGGTATTAACTGTACATAGTTTTGCTCTGAATAGATTGACCCTTTTAAAGTTATTGTATATGGTTGAGCACAAAACTACTTGCTCTTGGGTTTTTGGATTGAGGACGTGATTCAATGACCCGTGCAACATCTTGTCCGAGTTCTTCAGTGAATTTTTTCACTCGTTTGCAGCGTGAGCCATGTTCAAAAATTGTGAACAACGGACAGGGGCTTTATCTTAAATTTTGCCTTACCTTAAGCTGTTCACAAATATTTATTTAATACATTTTTCATAAGTGTCATGAGATAGGAAAATGCAAATGGTTCATTCTTCATTTATTAATGATTGTAAACAGGTTTTTCATGCAAATAAAGTTTCCATTATTTTAATGGCCTTGAATTATCTGTGAATTATGAATTTGGCAAGTAGCTGCTTTTCTTTCCTCAGGGGAAGGATGGTTAATATTAAGTGAAAAACAAGTATTTCGTAAAGATAATCGGCCTCCTTCAACGCACCTGCCTGTTGTGCTTTTCTCAGGCTAAATCTGGATCCAGGAGTAAGTAACAAAAGCTCCTCTGGGAATTTACTGTCATGACAAAGTGGTGGAGGTGTAGGTAAGGCACTGGCTCTCCTCCCTTTTCCCCCGAGGCTAAAGAAAAGATAAATACCAAGCGCTTCTGGCATGCACCTTCAGCAGGGTTTTATCAAATTTATTTATCAAAGTAAATGCTCCATCTTAGAACAAGGGAAACATTTATTTTAAAAATATTTAACTGTCTAATACATTACACTTTAACAATATTTATAGTAAAGGATTCTTACAAGAAAGAATAAACAGCTTTATGGTACAATTAGTATAAGAAATATCCACATGGGGACTGTTTTGCAGTGTAAAAACACACCATACATCTGAAATGGTCATTTGCATATAAAAGCTACCACTGATGCCAGTGAGTTGCACAGTGATTTAAAAAAAATTTCAAACAACAGAATCCAAAATATACAAGTATTGCAAGCTATACACAGCTAACCAAATCAACACAGAACACTGTAGCAGGTTATTCCACTTTGTCTGAAGTTACACATGGTAGGATGAGTCGCATTCTGACACAGCTTTTATGAAGTTCCCACATAAAAGCCTCTCAGTCCCGCGAGTTTCACAGACTGCAGAGCTCCACCATTAATGCACTTGGCTGTTGGGGTGCTGGGTCATTTACAAGGGCCAGGGCAGGTCGCTGAAGTCCACGGGGCCGCCGAGCCCCGCGTCGGCCTCCAGCAGGCTCATGATGACGGCCATGGCCGCCTCGTCGTTGCTGGGGCTGCTGGAGCCCTGCTCCGTGTCGATCATGTCGATGCCGATGTGGGAGTTGTCCCCTGCAGGAACACAGCCTGCGCTCAGTGGGGCTGGCCCTGAGCTGCCCCTGGGGACAGGGGGGACAGGGGGGACAGGAGGGACAGGGCTCACTGCTGCCAGCCCCACGCTGCACTGCTGGGCTCCCTCCCACTGCCCCGCGAGGGCACCGAGCCTTGCACGCCCCACCCGAGGAAACCAAGCTATTAACAGAGCCTGCAGAATAAACCCTACAGAACAGAGGCCAGGTGCCTCTCTGGGCACACACAGCTTGCTGTGGGCTTTGTGCTCAGAGCCAGCATCCCGCTGCAGTGTCCCTGTGCTGAGCTGGGAGGGAGGCTGCTCACCTGGGACTCCACTTACCCAGGATAGAGGAGTTGTCGGAATACGGGTACCCAGAATTATCCTGGATTTGCCCGGACAGCAGCCCAGCTGAAGAAATGTCTGGAGTGCCACCATTCAAGATCTTGAAAGACAAAACAGAAGTTCTAAACCAGCATGAAATGGTGTGTTAATAAGTCTTAAATTGTCCAATACCAGAATTTTTAATAAAGGGTAGATGGACTTCCCAAAATACCCATGTGGTTAAGAATTGTTTATAATAATTTCTAACAATCTCCTACACAAGGAGAATTATCAAGGGGGTGCTGAAAACACCCAACCCTCCACCTGTGCTTTTATGCCCTGCCAGCAACCACTATTCTGTGCACATGTTGAAAGAATAACTAGAATTACTAGAATTGTAATGCTAGTAATTGGAAATCTGTTCCAACTCGGGAGTTTTATTTCAAGAACAAAGAGAGCTGGGAATAGACAGAGATTTTTATATTTAAGAAATAGTTACTGTCTGTTCCAGTACAATTCATCATTTCTGAGAAAAAAAGGTTTAAGTAAGCCTGAAGCAGTGCACAAGGATCAGGGTAAGTGTTCTTGCTTTGGATAAAACTTCCATAAGCATTTAGAGATTGCTGGAAGCAGCCAGGACAAGTGGCTCAGTGCTGGTAATGGCACCTGAGTGCTACTCAGGCAATCTCAGAGCAATAGAGCAAGGCAGGAGCTCGGTGTTGACTTCACAAGCACCTCTCAGTGCTCCAGCAGCTCAGAACTGGCCTGGTTTGGGCTCCAGCAGCATGGAACCAGCCCAGTTTGGGCTCCAGCAGCATGGAACCAGCTCAGTTCGGGCTCCAGCAGCACAGAACCAGCCCTGTCTGTGCTCCAGCAGCACCGGTGGCACTCAGTCGGGCACAGCCGGCGTGCAGCAGCAGCACTTCCAGCGTTTACCAGCACGGGGTGTCAGAGAGGTTGCAGCTCTGCTGAGAAAATATAACCTGAGGGGCAGGGGAGTGTCCAGGACCTGCTGCTGCTGGTGAGCACCGCAGCGCTTGGGCTCTGCTTTGCTGCCAGGAGCTGTTCCCTGGGCACAACCCCACGTTCCCTGAGCATCCCCAGACTGGGGAAGCTTTTACCTTCTTCCCTCCTGGAGAGGATGTGTCGGGCGGGGGGGTGCTGGTGATGTTCAGGGGACTGGAGCCACAGCTGGAAGGTGATGAGCCTCTTATCCTAAAACACACAGAAAACAGGGCATGGGTGTACAAGGGACTCAGAGACCTGGGGTTTTAAATGCTGACTTCGGTATCAGGTGCCAAAAGCATGAGCTTCACTTTTGTAATCTCCCTTTTTCAGTGTTCCTCACAGCCAGACCAACAATCCTGTGTAAATCCAGCCTGCTTGGTCTGCAGCCTTTACTTCCTCCATGGTTTTTATTCCTGGGCAGCCTTCACAGAAGAGACAGAAGGAAAAGGTCCAGGCAGCTAAGGAAAGGCTCCTTTTTGAGTATTTCTCTTCAATTTCCACCAGCTACGAGTTCCAGCTGCCTCAGTCACAGTAACCCAGACTCCCCCAGTGAGCTCCTGTTACAGAGGTCCACTGGACACTGGAGTGTTTGTAACTCATTGTTCATCTCCATTTTCCATAGCTTGATCAAACATCGTTAATAATGAATAATGTATTGACAACAAATCTCCAGCCTAGAGGGAGGAGGGGTAGTTACAGAGAAAAGCAATGGAAATGGGAATCTTCTCCTTGGCAGAGTTCCCCTGGGAAAGCTGAACAGAAGGCAGCTTTGGAAAATAGTAACAGCTGCTGAAAAAGGACTGGAACTAACCCAGGGTCCGAACTGAAATGCAAACACGGGTGGAAACTGCACTACTACGCTCACTTGGGCTAATTAATTAAATGTTTCACAGCTACTGAAAGGGATGGTTAAGCTTCAAAGTATTGGCTCAGCCATGTTTTCCTTCTTTTCCTCTCTCCCCTTTTTCCTACTCCTCAGAAAGGATTGAAGCCTTAGGGACAGGTCTGCTGCTGCCTTCAGTGAGGGTGGAGGGAATCTCCTGCCTGCAGCAGGAACAAACCTGTGGGAAACAGACTGGATGAGCTCTGCACTGCAGCTCAGTCCAGTTAAATCGCTACCACTGCACAGCTGCTGGCTGAGACACCTCTTGTAGGGAAGGAAACAGTTCCCAAGAGGAGATCCGTGAGGAACAGGGATTTTTAGCCACCAGAAATGAAGTGGTACCCACTGAAAGCAGCTGCTCACACAGGTGAGAACTCCAGAGGCAGCTGTGGATCCCCAGAGTCCCTCAGTGACCCCGTCCCTGGCCCAGCCCCACATCCTGACTGCCATGGGAAGGCCCCAGCGTTGTGTCCTTGCTCCAAGAGCTGCAGGGGAGCTGCACAAGCTCATCATGCACATCTAACAACTCCACAGAGTGAATGGATTGCACAGAAACAAACACTGCTGCTCTGGCACACAGTCAGCAGCTTTGGCATTTGGAGGTTGTGCCACTCACAGCCTCAAGTCACTGGGAAAAGAACAGCCTGGAATGGATTTGTTTCTAGGTAGCTGCTCTTTTTAACTCATGTTTCTGGTGAACAGGCCATCATCATCATCACCACTGAAAAAAAAATGCCAGCATCAGTCTTTTGCAACAGCAAGGATGTAACCTGATGCCTTCCCTGTGGGGGCTGACTGCTCAGGGATGCTGAGCAGGAACCTGCAGCTGTCTGAGAAATACAGTTGGATCACTCCTTATTCAGCTTGAATAAATTGTTCTTTCAGAGGAAATTAAAGAAGTCTAACCCCTCTTAAAGAGCAGTGAAAAAACAACTTCCACACCATTTTCTCTCACCTGTGAATCTCCATGATTTCTTCAGCAATCATTCTGCCTATTTTACCTGCCCCAGCTCTTGTTCCACCTGGAATTCCAGGCACAGTGGGATGGGTCCTTTTGGGGCCACCTGAAATGAGCAGGAATTTTAAGGTCAGAGAAAAGCTTCCAAACCATCTCCAAAGGGAAATTGTATTTAGGCTTTGAGCAGCTGCAGGACCTTCTGAACTGGATTTATTGGCAGTTCCACCAACTGGTGAGTGCCTTCAAATGGATGGAAAGTTCTGGCTTGCACCGAGCCGTGCTGGGTCTCAAATGTCCCTCTGTGCCAGCAGGGGCAGAACAGACCCCAACTCTTTTAGAATCTGGCTGTTCTCTCTCAGAATTCAGCACCTGGTGCTCCCTCCTGTCCAGAGCTGCTACAGAATGGCCTTGTCAGACCTGCCCTGTGCCCAAACAGGCTCTTCTCCACACACAACAGCATCTGTTCTCTGCTTGTTGTGAACAACTTGCCAGAGAATATTCCATTCAAGATGGGATGACTGCAAAGAAAGCCCCTGGCAGGTAACTGCAGGAATCTGAAAGTGGGAGGAAAAGTGAGGTCTGACCAAGTTGGGAGCTGGTGCTGTGATTTCACACTTGCACAGCACTTGGGAGGTTGTCAGGAAGGAGCCTGATACACTCCAAGCAGAGAAGAGCCCACATTGAGAGGGCAGGAAAGGCCTCAGCATGGATAATTGTAACTGGATAATCCTGCCTCTGAAAATGCATTTTTAACACCAGCAGCCCTCAGCAGGTGCGGCTCAGAGCTAAACCTGATTTTCCTGAGGCTACTGGGCAGTGCAGAAGGGCAGCCCAGGTGTGCAGGCAGGAGGAGCTGCCCCCTGGCAGGGATTCCCTGAGCACAGGAGTTACCTTCTCCAGCCTGGAGCACGCTGTCCATGCTGTGGGGGGACGCTGCCAGCTGGGGAAAGGCGGCGTCCCCGCTGTCCAGGACCGCCGTGCTGCGGAGGGCGAGGGTTAGAAAAGTCAGTCAGAGAAAACCCTACAGGTGGAAAACCCTAATAAAGTGATTAAAACCCAAGTCATGCAGCCAGAGCTTCGGCATGGGGTGCTTCAGGGTGTCAGCAGTGTGTGAGTCAGTGTCACCCCTGTGGCTGACACCAGGGCTGGATGAACAACAGGAATCAAGCGCCCTGTTCCACCCCAACGTGTGCAGAGCAGGACCCCAGCAGCTCCTCTCAGCACACAGCTCCTCTACAGCAATTATTCTGCTGAGAAGTCACCTCAAGAGGAGGGAAAAGGGGAGGGGAAATACCTGCCAAAGCAAAGGAATGCACATCCCTTAAGTCCCTACAGAGACCGAATCCCAGCTTTCCCCCCAAGCAAGAAAATATTTCTATTTTCTGCAAGCTTTAACAATTTAACAGAAATCAAATTCCTGCAATTGTTAAACCAAACCCCCTCTCCCCAGGGTGCTATCTGGAGAAGACACCCACTGAGATACAGAAGGTGTGCACATATTTTGGGTCAAATCTCCCAGGAGAAAAGGGCCAAGCCGTGGGCACCCCCAGGCTGAGGGAAGAGCACTTACGAAACCACCGTGTTTGTGGAGACAATGTATTCTACTTCTTTGGTCCAAGGGTTCATGAAACTGAACCAGCGACTCCTCAACGTAATAAAAGAGCCATCTTTTATTTTAAACTTGTAGCAGTTAGTTGTGATTTTTTCTCTTGTCTGCAAAACTGAAGAGAGGCAGGAAGCAAGTCTTTTGTGTCAAGCAGGCACCACAACACCAACACTGCCCTTGTCAGGGAAAAGCCAGTTTATTTCTCCCCACATCCCTCAAGAAAAATGCTATTCCTCCCTCATCCCACCCATCCTGAAGCTCAAATATCCCCTACAAATCCATGCAAATCTAAAATAATCACAGTGCTTGGCACATCCAGCACAATGCTCTCGACTAAAGCATTTGCAAACAGCAATACCCAAATCTTTTCCAGTCTGTTTGGTTCCCTTAATGCACAACAACTGCTCCCAATACTTTGAACAAAATTTCTCTGCTGAATTATTAATGACTGTACCTTGTCTGTGACATTCTGCAAGATGTGCTATATCATCTTGATGAAAATACTCGTAACACGAAGTTCCTAGAAGCTCCTGGGGTAAGTATGCCAGGATGGCTGTTGCCCTGGGGAAAGGGAGGGAGAGGAAGAAAATAAAGAGAAAGAAAAAAATAAAAGAATCTTTTCAAGCTGAGGTATTAGTCAGAGATTCCTAAAGCTCACACTGAGGCTGGGTAAGGCTCAAATAATGCAAAAGGGAATTTTCAGCTTAGAAGGTTAAAAAAAAAAAATAAATTCCTTGAGAACACTACTTTAAATTCTCAGGTAATTAAAAAGGTACCTAACAGCCAGAGCTCTCAGGCATTACATCTGACCTAGCAGAGGGGATGTAAGACTTTCTGAACAGCTTTGCAGATTTGCTGTCATTTTGGGAATTTAAGCCTGAAAAAAGGGGCCTTGTAGCAGCCACAAGATAACACGAAGCTTTCTGCATGGAGTGCCACTGCAAAACTGACATCAAAGGTTTGGAGAACTCGAGAGTGGGACAGAACAGCACCACACCAAACTCAACTTGGATTTTGTATATTGCTTAGAAGAAAAAAATTCCAGAGGGAGAAGTGACAGTTCCTTGAAGAAACTGAAGTAAGTGTCACAATTCCAAAGTATTCAGTGCAAGTTAAACACCAAGGGCAATAAGGAACAGACATAGACCAACACCCCTTCTGGAATCTCAAAAAAGCTCAAATTAAGTATTATAAAATGTAGAAATTAGTACATATTAGCAATTATGAATAAGAAGAGAAGGAGAAAAGCTGCAGCACAAAAACCTGGGGCATTTTTGTACGTTCCCAAACACAGCAGGAGAATTCAGCAGCAGCTGAGGACACCCCAAGCCCTCCTTGACAGGGAGATCTGACACCCTTGGAGAAGGAAACAAGAATTCCAGCTGAGTTTTGTCTGGTGAGCCTTATCCCAGGACACCTAAAACTGAACAAAGCAATCTCCCAGAGAACCACCAAGCAGCAAAACCAAACCTGTCCTGAAAATGGAAGGGCTGGGAACCAAGTCAAGCTTCTCTGAGTGTTTTCCCCAAGAACTTCAGCAGCCAAGGCTTTTGGCAGCACTGCTGTGGTGGGACACACAGGCAGCAGCAGGGAATTTGTCCACCCTTTTCCTCCCACTGCAGGATGAACAGGTGCTGTGGAAAGGAGAACCTGCACCAAATTGCAGACATCAATAGGCTGGGTGCATTCAATATCTGACCATGTTCTATTATGCAAGGGAGGAAATTGTTTGGGTCCTGCTGGAATTTCATCCTCTATTTCCTTTTTTTCCTCAGCTCGCTTCTCCTACTTAACAAAGCAGCTCTGAATCCTGAATGGCATCTGCATAGATAATAAACTTAATTTCACTCTCAAATTCACCATGCAGACCAATTAGAAGCCTTGAATAAGTAAGAGGGGAGATGATTCTCTTTAAAACTCTGCTGCCATTCCAGCAGTGAATTGTTAAGCAGTTCCCTGGCTGTGGCTGCCTAATCCACAGCTGGGATTCTCCAGGAATCATGCAATCCATGAGGACATAAAGGGGCACAGGGAATTTAGGAAGTGTTTCTTTCCTGAGTTCCTTGGACAAATGATAAATGAACATAGCAAGCCTATAGGAACAAAACAACCTGACTTGGAAATAAATGGTTTTCAGCTTTTACAGGTGCCTAAATATTCTCCAGGAGAAGCAAGGATCATTGGATGTCAACTTCAGGCCTACAGATGAGGCTTTCTTCTAAAGAAATTCCCTTTCAAAGAGCCCTTTGAAGTATCACAGACATCCCAAGGACTGTAAACAACAGCTGGAAAGCAATTCAATAAAAGCATAAGTGTTTAAATCCAATGGGTCAACATTTCCTGAGTCTCATTATTTTAGAAATGCCTCAGAACTACACATCAGGGGAATATTCCTGATCTTCTGAAAATAAAACTTGTCTATAAACAAGACAGAATGGCATTTTGTGAGCAACAGAAAGCTACGAGTGCTCCCCCAGCTCCCAGAGTGAGCACCAGCTCTGAGCTTTCCATCAAATTAAAACCAAAACCACCCAACCTAGCCAAAACCTACAAATCCAACCACCCCAAAACAGCATAAAAAAAAATAAATACATATTCTCCATACTGCACTTCCTCCCATGACTATCCTCTAAAGGGGACTAAAGCCCAGCTGAGTCTCCCCTGAAAGCAATTCTAGCAGGTTCTGTCAGAGTCAGGAGTTTGGGGCTTTTCTGTGTCTGAAGCAGCTGAGCCAAAGGCAGAGGGAAAGTGGAACAGCCTCAATCCCTGGTGCCAAGGAAGGGAAGCACACAGCCCCTCCCAGAGGAACCTCTCCATCAACACCCTGCAGCCTCCTCCTCCTCCTCCTCCTCTGCCCTCCACCACCCAGCAGTTTTTGAGGAAGATTCAGGCCACCTGTGCCTGCCACTGAAGAAAATCCAAGCCTTTTCTTTTGGGAAAGGCAAGAAGGAGCCTTTTAGATAAGAGATGTGTGTTTGAAAGCAGATAGCACAGGGGCACAAGGTTTCCAGGAGATAACCCTTGTGCAAAGCTCTCCTTGCAGGCACACGGGGTCACGGGGAGGAGCACTGAGGCAGCAGAACGTGTCCTAGTGAACAGTTACATAAGGGTACGTGCCAGCAAAGCCTAACCCAGCTCTGCAGCCTCTTAACTCAACCTCTGCATCTGCAGGAGGCTGCAGGCAACACAGCAAGCAATCAGGGTCCAGTTTCCAAACATTTTCTTCTGAAGATTACCCACATACATAATCCCCCCCTCTCCCAGGAGCTGGCAGAAACGATCCTGGCGTTTTTCTGCCACGTTCTTGGGAAGTTTGGGGGATTTTTTTTTTTAAAATTTCATCAGTCACACTGAATAAATGTGTAGTAACAGCTTTGAGCTGCACCTCAAAAGCCAGCCCAGCTTGCAGTAAAAAAGCTAAAAAGGGCAGCAATTTTATTTTTATTTTCACTGCTGCAAGGGAAGCTGTCCATGAGGCAGTGCCCCAGGGTGGAAGTTGTTAGGGGTGTTATAAATAACTGCAGTTATCGGCTTTTGCTAGCACATACTGACTTTGGCAAATTATTTTGCTATAGTACAATTTGTAATCACTTCTAACTGCTTTTGATAAAATGTAATTTGGGGCAAATTCCCTGGCCCTGTGTAGTTTATGTATTTTGGTGTGATAAATATGTTATAGTTTAGGCTCTGGCACAATACTGAAATAAAGACTGTGTGCTGTGTATTAACTGTTGCAGAAATAATTAATGCTTTTATAACCAACTGACACTGGTAAGAATAACTCATCTAGTTCTGTGAAATAGATAATGGTGATTTAATGTAATTATAGAATATCCTATCTGAATAAGAAAACCTTGAAAATAACCAGGACACCAAGAAAAAATGTACTACTGACTCTCTGGTTCTCAGGAAGTGTCAAACAAACAGAAGAGAGCCTTGAGAAGAAATAAAATATATTGATTACTTTATGATTTATTTTTATACTGGTTTTTTTTTAAGAAGTTCTGAAAATGTGTAGAATTTTTTTTATTTATTTTTTCTAATTTTTTGATTATTTTTTTAATTGTTTAATTTTTAAAATTTGTTTTAATTTGTTTTCATTTTTAAATTTCTTTTATTTAATTTTTTTTAATTTTTAAAATTTTTTTTAATTTTTTAAAAATGATTTAAATTATTTCTAATTTTTTAAATTTTTTATTTTAATTTATTTTAAATTTTTAAATTTTTTAATTTTTTTATTTATTTTTTCTAATTTTTTGATTATTTTTTTAATTGTTTAATTTTTAAAATTTGTTTTGTTTTCATTTTTAAATTTCCTTTATTTAATTTTTTTTAATTTTTAAATTTTTTTTAAATTTTTTAAAAATTATTTAAATTATTTCTAATTTTTTAAATTTTTTATTTTAATTTATTTTAAATTTTTAAATTTTTTTAAATTTTTTTTTATTTTTTCTAATTTTTTTATTATTTTTTTAATTGTTTAATTTTTTTAATTTGTTTTAATTTGTTTTAATTTTTTAAATTTCTTTCATTTAATTTTTTTAAACTTTTAATTTCTTTTTAATTTTTTAAAAATCATTTAAATTTTTAATTTTTTTAATTTTTTATTTTAATTTATCTTAATTTATTTTAATTTATTTTAATTTTTTAAAAAATTTTTTTAATTTTTTTTTATTTTTCTAATTTTTTTATTTTAATTTTTTTAAATTTTTTTTTTTAATTTTTTTTTTTTTCTTAAATTTTCCTAAACATTTTTTTTTTTTACTTATTTCTTTCCCAAAAAATCCCTGTGGCTGGTGGTTGGATGCTGACCTCTGATCCACAAAGACGAACTTGCCGTCGATGGCGTGGCGCGACACGTACTCCGTGGGCTTGACGCGGATCTCGCCGTTGGCCGGCTGCGGCACCACGTGGGGATGGAGCCTCCCGATGGCAACCAGGCAGCTTAAATTGCAGCCCTCGTTATCTGGCTCGTTATCCTCGTCCAGCCCCATCTTGGTGGGAGGCCAGCTTTTCAAGTAGCCCGTGCTGTGAATCGTGCAAAAGCTCTTGCGGTCTGCTGCCAAGGGAAAAGGGAAGGAAACATCAACCAGCAGAAGGGGTTGGGTGGTGGGTGCAGCTCTGGAGAACTTCAGCTCCGTTCTGCCAACAACAGCTCCTCTCTCACCTGGGGAATTTGGGATGCTCTGCACTGGGCAGGGGCTGGGGGTGTTGGGGCTGGAGAAAAGGAGGCTCAGGGGGGACCTTGTCACCCTCTAGAAGGGGCTGACAGGAGCCGGGAGCCAGCTGGGGATCGGCCTCTCCTCCCAGGAGTGGCACAGGGTGACAGGACACGGCCTGGGGCTGCAGCGCTTTCCTCACCCAATGTGGACACGATTTTCTGAGCCTGAGAGGGTTTCCAGCCTGTCACTGCCTGATCTGTTTCACAAGGGAAAGGCTTTTGGGAAACCTTTCTCTCTCAAGGACTGCTTTCTGTAAATAGGTTTTGGTTCTCAAAACCGATGTTGTACAGATGTTCTAGATGTGTTTTTCTCTTGTCCCACCAGTGGGATGAGAGAGGTGTTGTTCCTTGTCCCAGTCAGGTTAACCTGTATCAGAACACCTCAAAAAACCCTGAAATAAATGCTTTTGCCTCCATGGGATTGAAAAGCTCTGCTGCTGTGACTGAACCCATTGCTCCCATTTCTCTAGTGACAACTGAAAGGATTGTCAAGCCTTGGAAGGGGCTGCCCATCCCTGGAGGTGTTCAAGAAGTGACACAGCACCTGGCTGACGAGGGGATCTTTGGTCAAAGCCTCAATGCCCTTGGAAACCTTTTCCAGCTTGAATGACTCTGAGATTCAAAGAGATTTTTCAGCACTCCTGCTGTAATGCAGCTGATCTCAGATAATCCAATAAACAATTTCTCTTGGCAAAACTGCTGTTTATGCTGAAGGATCACATAGCTGAGAGCAAGGTTGCTCTTGGTAATTTTGAGCAGAAATTGCATCACATCTTACTATTCCAGCAAAGGAGGCAAATAACCCAAATGTATGTATGAAGGAATTAGTAGATTAATAAATAAAAAGCCTCTTTCATCTTACCCTGAGGCGCCTACAAAACCCATTTGGTTTGGCAGAGCACACACTGCCTGGGGTGTACAGGGGACAGCTGTACACAGGGGTGATGATGGAGACTTTGCAGTGGCCAGCAAAAGTCAGTATCCAAAAGGAGAATTGCTATTCTTCAGCACTGAGCAGGCCTGCAAACTCCAAGGAAGATGACTTTGGTGGGGAGGTGGAGTAAAAGGCTTATCCCAGCTACACAAACCAACCTCCTCAGCAGCCAAGCTGAGCCTGAACCTCACAGGGAGTTGGGAGTTTGATGTGTTCCAGAAAATACACCAAAACGGCCTCTGTCCTCTTGCTGTTTGTCTTTTCACTTTGACTAACACCAAATTCACAGTAGTCAAAGAAGAAACCTTGATATTTGGGCTAAATATATATTTCAATGTGCCCAGAGTAATAGCCTCAGATAAAAAATATTACCACCACTGCTAATGCTACCAGCAAATATTCCAGGTGTAGAAATGCCAGGTTTCCAGTACGCAGAAGGTACCAAAGCCACAGATGAACTCAGAATCACACTCATTTTTTGAGGTGGATATCCATCCCCACATCACTGGGCAAATATGGAGCAGAGAACAAGGAGCACTCCCCTTTACTGGAGACACTGGCCAGGTGGTGAAGACCGAACGTGATCTGACCGATGGCTGGAGATGATGCAAAACCCCCAGAACTGTCGGCACAAACTGCCTGACAAAGTTTCAAAGAAAGCAGAGTGGAGAATTTAGCTTTAAATGCTGATACAGGTGTGTAAGAGATACTGCAGGGGAACGAGGAGGAGCTTGAAGAAGTAACACATCTAGACATAGTTCAGAATCTTAACAAGAAACATCGATCAACGTAAAAAAATTTAACCACTGCAAACAAGCAGTATAAAAAAAAATAAATAAAATCCTGACAGCCTTGGTAATAAAAGCATGATGGTTACCTTTCTTCTTTGAGCAGGTTGAAGGGAAATCCTTGTCTTCTACTTTGACAGAGGGCCTGTTGCACTTCATCCTGCAGAAGAAGGAGCGGCGCGCTCCGGAGCAGAGCCGCGAGGGCCCGGGCGTGATGTCCGTCTTGACCGGGAGTCCGGCTGTGCGAGAGCGAGGGAGGGAGGGTCAGCTGCAGAGAGAACTGCCCCACAAACCCCACCCCACACTGCTTCCACCTCGCTGGGCTCCTGTTTCTGAGGTTTTGGGGTGTGTGAGCGGGCAGGACCCAGCTGACCACAGCACACTGCCGCTCCTGACTGCGCTTTCTGCTGGTACAGCACTGAGGAGAGCTCGAGGACACGGGGCTCTGAGTGCAAGAGACTGGACAACTCCACACAAGGCCCGTGGTAAACACTGCCATTTCTCTGAACTGGTTAAAAATAGAGATTACTTCTCCATAACCAGAGCAGAATTCCACACACAGTCACTCAGGAGGCTCCTGGCCCCTCAGACTGGCGCGTTTCTATCACAACACCCTCCCAGAAAACACACAGAGCCAAAGAGCCCCATGACAGGGCACGGATAGAAGGAGGAAAAAAGGTAGCAGGGATCCACACAGGAACTGAAAATCCCCAAGACCTCCAGTTATGTCTCAGAAGTCTCTCTTGCCTTGCAGAAACAAGTGCACATGGACCTGCCCTGACAACAAATCCTGACCTTTACCATATTCCCACAGTGGATTATTGTTCCGTGGGAAAACCAACCAAAAGCCATCCCTCTGGTGCCAGCAGGGCTCTGGGAAGCCATGGAATGCTCCCATGGCAGGCATCAGGAGCACAGGTATCAGTGCTCAGCACAAGGCCAGTGCTCCAAGGGCTGATGGAGGATTGAAATCCCACTTTTCCACCCCCTGCCATGCCTGCACGGGGATGTGTAAAATCAGGCAGCTGTCAACATCAACTTCCCAGGCCTTGTGAGCTTTTAACATAAGGAGGAAGAGAGCAATTCCAGTGTCTGAGTGGGAAGTGTGGCTCCCTTACAATTCCACTGGAGTGAGGTGATCTCCAGGAGGTCAGGCTGCCCTGCACCACATGCCCTCCAAACTGCTGCACCGTGGTGTGAGTACAAGCTGTGCTGAGTTACTCATGCCAAGACAAAAATAAATATGTGCATACATCCTCATACTCTTCACCAGTATGACTTCTTGAAATTCTACCAATCCGTCTATCATAGCAGATGGGAAGACTGTAATTCATAGTATTTATTTTTGCCCTAACTTTGTCAGAGGCATACAAAAAAAGGAAAAAAAAAGCAAACCAGGAGGGAGCACTGGATATTCATGCTTGACAACCGATGAAACCAGGAGCCAGAAAAAACTTCAGCTGATTCTGCTGAAGCCTCCAGGCTCCCTGCCCTCGAATGATCTCTCTCAACTTCAGTTCCTGAAGTTGAGCTGGTGGCTTCTGTGAGCTGAGATCCAGGAGATTTCTGCTCCTGACAAGCATGAGACTTAATGACCTGGAAATCTGTGGTTGTAAGATTCCACCTTCCACTTCAGCAGTGCAGACTCTTGTTATGAGAGGGAATTAAACACCCACTCACCCCAAGAGCAGCAGAGATACAGAACTACTTTAAAATACCAGAGTGGAACAGAGCTAAGAGAGATGGCAGGAAATGATTCCAGAGTTAAAAACCTTCTGAGAGATAGGCTGGGTCATTGATGGCAGTCAGCAATAAATAAGTAGATAAATCAAATGAATCCTCTATCCTGGATGACAGCTAAGGCCCACCAAGACAATACTGAGAGCATTCTGACCATTTAGAATGATGGATTAGAACAGAGGCTTCACATGTTCAAATGCTCTCTCTGGAAGAGAGAGGACACCTCAAAGGAGAAGCCAGTTCCAGTAATGCCTCTGTGCCAGTGCATGCCAAACCAAACAGCTTCCAAGTACCCCTTTCACACGTGTTTTTTTTCTTTTTATTGCTTCTTCCTGTCTTTAAGCTACAACTTCCTTGGCCTGAGACAATGCAGAGAGCATTCCCTCACATCTGACAAGAGGCACAGCCCCAGCAGCAGTGACTCTAGAGGATATTTTCCCCAAAATTGGTAACACTCACTTTTTGCGTCTATCAGTCTTTCTCGTGGCGCGGTGTCAGAAGAAGAGAGCTGCTCCTTCACTTTGGCAATGTCTTTAGGATGGAGATAATCAAATAAACTTTGACCAATCAAATCATTCTGTAGAGATTGAACATTCAGTCAAAAAGTAAAATAATGGCTCAGAATATTTTCTTCATTTTAGCATCCAGTATGAACAATCCCTTTGCATATAGGTGCAACCAAGGAATATCAAACATCCAGATCCAGCCTCATTGCAGGGAGTTTGGACTGGATGACCTTTAAAAGGTCCCTTCCAAAAAACAATTTTATGATTCTGTGACTTGATGGAAGGTTCTTCTCTGTGTATTGAAGTTATGACTGCATTACACAGTAATTTCTGTCATCATTTTCAGTACGAGTTTTGCAGAACTGGCATGCTCAATTCCTCCCCCCCAAAATATTCTACTCAGTCTTATTTCTTCTACCACACATTTGAGTGAACAAAATCCCAACTGCAAATATTCTCTTTCATTATTCACATATGAATAGAGATTTAGTAATACCTAACTAAAGGCTGGCTGAGGAAAACTTTTGAATAGAGGTTTTTAATTTGATGAGGAGTGCAGATGACAGAAAGAATGAAGATTATTTACACAATGCATTGTCCAAGTTAAGCCTTATGTTGAGCATATATTAAAAACCTGGCTTTGGTGTAACTGCTTTCCAGTTTCCATCAGGAAGCATGCAAGCAAAACCAGAACAGATAAAAAGAAAGCAAAGTTGAAAAATGCATGGGAAGCTACTGGAAGAACCCCAGACTGATGTTCCAAAATTTGCTTACACTCCCAATTAAGTAATGCTTTTGCAAGCCTGAGGGTAAATCCTCGAGCAGAATGCATCTATCAGTGAATTAAATTTAGTTCCTTTTCACCTCCTTGCTTTGAATGGAAACCAGAAGCAATCTTCTGTAAAGGCATGGCAGAGAAAAGCTCTCTCTCTTTGCAACACCTCTCAGCCTTCAAGACAGACTCTTCTCATACCCAGATAAAGGCAAAACCATCAAAAAGCTCTCAAATCTTTTAATGTACTTAAAATGGAAAAGAATACCTGACTGTAGTTGAGGATCTTGAAGACAGATTCTGAAACAAACAGTATCTTTCCTCTGTCACAGCCCACAACAAAAAGAAATCCATCTGCTGCCTAATTGGGGGTGGGGGGAAAAAAAGTCAAATCCCAAGTTATACATCCTCATTGCATTGTTATAACCTTTAAAAACACTTGGTGTACAGTAGAATTTCTACACTAGGAGAGCTGCCTTAACATTTAGAGGTAACTGAGTCAACAGGAAAAATGTGAAATTACAATGAAGGGGTTTTTTGCATCTGCAAACATTTTTGGCATCATTCTGGGCATTGTGCCCAGAATGTAAAATAACTTTTATGAGAAGAAAGAACCCATGTCTTGTCCAATAATATTATGATTATGTTTAATAATGCCTTCAAATTAAAATGTTATTTTAACTGTACTTATAAAAGCTCCTCTTTTAGAAACCAGCCATAACCTGGATATTTATTTCTGTGCCTGGAGGCAACTAATTCCTATTTGCAAAGTACTGTCTTTCAGTCACACACAAGCATGCAGGAATAGGCCCCAATTATGTATCTTCAGAGTCACAATGCTGCAGAAATTAAATTCTGCCCAAGCTGCACCTGGACACTTCAGAGCTTCAGCAATTACAGGGCCACTAGGAGAGCTTAACTAGTGACTACACTGTAAATCAGTGTAGCAACAGGCAGCCAGGCTAAGTCATGTTACATCAGTGACCTCAATAAAAAGGTGTTCATTGTATCACTGTGCACTGAAAACCATGGCAAGGGAACCCAGGGCAGCAAGAGTGCAAGGAGACAATTCATGTGATTTGGGTTTGTACATTCAATAACTGCAGATTCTGATCCTTCCCATCTAAATCACCCTCTTCAACCTTTCTGCTTAAATTAAGAAATGCTAGCCATCATTAAACTCACTGACTCTGTGAAGCAGTCTCCAGATTTCTTAATTATCCTCCATAATCAAAACATCTTTAAGCTGAGATACAAGGCAGAAAAATACCAGTGGTGTGCTTTGGGAGAGCTACAGTCACATATTATTAATATCTCTTAATTAAAAGCTGGAACATACCCTGAGAATGAGATGTTTTAATTCATCATCTGATAGAAAAGCAGGCTTGTAGTTTGCTTCTGTATATGGGTTTGTAGCACCTAAAGAAAACAAACAAACAAACAATTCCCATATCACCAACACTGCACACTGAAATGAGCAATTTTCCTTTGGCTCCTTCTTATATTGTTGTTCATTTAAAATGAACTTATTTGGTTTTGTTTTATTATCAACATGAACTCTGTTGGTATTAACTTAAAAAAGGATGAAGCTTTTTTTGCTAAGACACAAGTACCACATTAGGTAGAAATGCAAATTAAATGCCTCTGAGATATAAAAGTATTCCTTGACATATTTTTGAGCCCAAAGGCTGCCTTTGATTTATGGCCTAGTCTCAGAATTAGAAATTATAAAAATATTAAAGAATAAAAACATTCAGACTACTTCTTCTCTTTATAACTCAGTAAAACATAGAGCTCATGTAAACAAACCATCACTTGGGAATTTACAAATCAATTTCCTCATTCCAAGGCAAAGATAAAACCCAGCATTACAATGACATCATCTTACAATGCCAAAACCCAAAAACTGGCAACAAATGAGGCAGCTATTTATTAAGGAGCCATTCTTCTCATTCCATTCCCTTCACAAAGGCAGAGAAGAGTCAAATTAGTTGACCACTGAAGTGTTATGAAGTATTAACCCCATCAAATGACAGTGGCAGGAAAGTTAAGCCTTTCAAAACCACGAGGTTAAATATGACTGAAGGCACCAGCTCCCCTAGAAATGAGAAGAATCACCAGGATCTTTTTTTACCATTTGCTGCATCCCTTTTTATTCCTCATTTCTTGAAGGCTTAAGCTTTTAACATCAGCACCAATTGCACCTAAGCACTGATTCACTCAAACAAAGCTTTAGGAACACCCAGCGATTTCTCACAGCCTCAACTCTCCCAAACCTGTGTGTTTCCCTTCAAGTGCTGAAAAAGACCAAAACTGAGTTTTCAAAGCACTCATTACTCTTTCACACAGAGCTAAAGGTACAAACACAAAACCTCAGAAGTGCTGTGGGAATAACATACCTGCAATCCAACCTCTCTATCCCACAACTTGGTACATTGCCTGCTTAGAGCAGCGCTCAGGGCTGCACCAGAACCAACTGTGCGCTGCCCTCAAGCCCTGTTCCCTCTCCTCACCTGCCCCAGCAGTGCAAGCTGGCAGCAGTGATCAATAGGTCAGATGGTGGAAAATTATTCTTTTCTCATGCCCAAGTTCCCCCAGCCACACCAGGGTATTTACTGGACCATCAATGAGCAAGCTGTGAGCATCAGATGCTAAGAAAAGGGGAGGAGTCCTCCCAGAACGAGCTAACTTAGCCCTTTTTGGCAAAAAAAGGGAGAGACAAAGCGTGGCTTTGGGGAAATGCCACTTGGAAGGGCCCTGCAGCCCCAGGCAACTCACCACGAAGCGTTTTCATGTGCTGCACAGCCATCCTGAGCACGGTGAGCTTGTCCAGCTTGCGGGACATGGCGTTGCACGTGGGCACCAGCGAGGCCAGCTCGTCTATGAAACTGTTCATCTTATCCCTGCGCCTCTTCTCGATCTGGCTGTGAGCCTCCCTGCACACACACACAGCAGGGCAGCGTCAGGACACGCAGCACTGCCCAAAAACAACCCCCTCCAAGGGACAGCACAGCTCCTCCAGCCTTTTGTTGGAATTCCTTGGGTAAGGAACCGTTAGAAGCAACAGGAAAGGTTGCAGCACAAAAGCTTCTGGCTTGCCAGAAACCACACCCAGCGCTGGTCAGGTTTGTGTTTTCCCATATTAAGATTCACTGCTAGCACCTTCACAAGTGGAAAGTGATTTTCCCACCTATGGAGTTTGAAAGAAGAAAGATGAAGGATGTAACAGCACCAGAGATTTATCTGGCTTCGATTTCAACAGCAGTGAACTGACTGAAACAAAAGTAACTCACCAGATCAGCTGTTTCACTCTGTGCAAACTGAATGAAAAACATGAACAGTGCAAAGATACGGAAAAATAAGGGAAGGTCAAAGCTAGAAAAAGGTCTTTTCAGAAGGAACACGCACAGATAATTCATACATGGCAAAAAGAAAAAGACAATCCTTTAAAATGTATAAGTTTAGAGCATTACCTTGCATTTTTTATCCTGCCTTGTTGGTCTGCATACTCCAATCTGTTGAGAAACACATCACAAAGTTACAGCGTTGAAAGCACTCAACCCAACTCTTTCACTGCATCTCACATCCTACTGATCCTCCTTAAGATCAGTTTTTTCACAATCTGAATATGTTTATTTAGCCTTTCTAGAGCACAGCTCTATAACCCTGTGCCTCAGATGTGGGGATGCTCTAGCTTGTCTGCTCCATGTTGTTCAAACTAAGATTGTTTAGATTATTGCTTCACCCCAGCAAAGCAATAATCTGGGACCACAGTGACACTGAGAACAGGCATCCACAGTCAGGATCCTGTGTCAGAACTGAGATTTCAGTGACTGTATCAACAGTACCTTCCATGTTGGTCATCTTTATCTGTATCCATACCTTCCCTGCAGAAACAGAACAAAGCAACACATCACAAATTCAGCAGCACTGGCAGAACTGTCATCCAACTACCACAAAGCCAGAACCAAGTACTCCTGCCACCTCTAAACCATAAATACAGAAATAGCAGCATGAAAACAACAACCTGGAAGGACTAAGGAAGCTGGGTGGTTTTTTGTAACATTAAAACACTTTCTTAAATTAGTTGTGTCTCCTTCAGAACTCACTAAATGGCACCGTTTGATGTGTTTGACAGTAAAACATGCTGCAGTTCAAAGATATCATCTGTTAACAAAAATGTTTTTCAGTTAACTAGAGGAGGGGGGGGAAAAAACCCAACTTTATGCAGATGCCTGTATGTTCTGTAGCTCAGTTTGCCTTACAGTAGTTGATTTTGGGGTAGAAAATGGTAATACACTAAATTAACACACCACTGGAGATGGCCCCATGCATGGAGAGAACAAAAGTACTACAGAAATTAGTACAACCTCCAGTGTAGATACCTGGATTGCTTTGGGTTCAACATGAAGAAAAGAAATAAGGAAAGAAGCACGAAGAATAGAAATAATCCCCCTTATTACATTTAATATTGCAGCCACATGTGCACAACTAAGCAGGAGAGGAGAGTGTAACTTTTCATAGTTGTACTTGATAAAAAAAGCTAAATGCCCTTGACTACACATCTTTTTTTAGACAAGATAATTAGGAAGAGAATGTTTTGATTTATGTAAATCTGTACAACTGTGCTTAAGTGGATATTCCTAGGCCTGCTCATTCTGGTTTAATTTCTACCCGTGAGTTTTAAGTCTATGGAAGCAAAAGGCAGGGAAAAAACACTGGGCATCTTTTTCCAAGTGAAACCAATTACTGAAATATTTATACTTACTCAAAAGGAAAGCCATCGAGTCTGAAAAGAAAGAAAAATAAAGTACACCATATATAGGAAATAAGAACAACATCTTACATTTTCTGCTGAAATTCTCAAGCTAATTCATATTCTATTTGAAATGACAAGCACAATGAAAACAAGACAATAGCATTGAGTTTTCTAAAGGAACAAGCTTGTTCAAATTAATCTACTTTCTGAAAGAATAATTCTGCTTTTTAAGAAAAGAGAGCACAGTTCATTACACTTAAGGTGAGAAACTAATAAAACAACTAACCTAAATTATGTTATGCAAATCATTGAGATATTGTTTCATCTTCAGAAAGGAAAGATCTGTGCTTTATGCGTGTTGTCCTTGTGGTTAGATAAATGGGATTTCAGAGGACTCTAAGGCCAGAAATAAAACATAAAAATAAAAATAAAGTATCCCAAGTTTCTCAGTTTTTGATTCTTGCCCAGCAGGACAGATGTACATTTTGCTTTAGTCAAAAGTCCCAAGCTGAACTCTATACAGACTTTATCATATCACAAGGAAATTAAGCAGAATTTCTACATGCAAACTAACTGCTGGCATCACTTCAAGACTCTAAAGTGACCTGAAATATCACTGAGCTTTACCATGATAAGAGTTATGTTTCACAGAAGCCTTATGAAAAAGTCTTCTCATCTCAGCCATACCAGTTATTCCTGCTCAACACTGGACACGAGCCTTCTTAAAAACCAACATGGCAGCCTTTCATCTACTATTCACAGCACTCTAATTATCTTTCTGATCAGTTTCCAAATCATAGTGATCATGCTAAATGTTTCCATCATCTCCCAGTGTGCACACCTGAGTTATTGTCTTGGCCACTGACTCCTGATGCTCACAGTTTAACAGCACTTGAGCCACCACCTTTAGCTCTGGGATGTTTGTGTGTAAAAACCCCCAGAAAGCAAAACCTAGAAGGGCTATGAGGTGAGTTACTAATGCATCAGGGGAGTTTGTTTTCTCATCGTGTAATATTTCCACAGAAAGCATTACTCCCAAGAAAAGAAATTTATTGTTCATAATCCTGTGCTTGAAGTCCTGGACAACAGCATTTGACCAGCCCTTGCTGAAGTGACAGCAATAACCTGGGCAGGAATTTTCCTGGAGGAGTTGCAGCAGAAAGAACTAAAAAGCTGCAGTGGAGAGCTGGAAGTGCAGCTGATAACTCCTCTTGCTTGTAACTCAAGAGGTGAGCAAAGAACCACCCTAAAACACTGGTTCTGCCTCCCTTATTCCCTGGCTTCACTGGTACGTGAAGCATCAAACTGGACACTTGGATAATTTATAAATACAGTAAAATAAATATTATAAATAGAATAAAATCCTTAACAGGTAGCAGAAGTTGAACAGTAGCATTTCTGAACATTTTCCCATACATACACACATAAGGAGGGATAAAGGTGATCTACCTGAAGCTCTGCTTTCCAAGAGGAACATTTAGTAGCCACCATTTACTTTACAACACAAAATCAACTGTGGCATGACTACATAGTAAGTAGTGGTATGTAGTGTATGACTACAAAATAAATCAATTTATTTTACTAAGGATTCAAGGAAACACAGTTTGCACACATTAAAAAAAAACCTAAACACAAAACCTGAAGGGCAGAATTATACCTCACAAAAACAAGCTTTTTTTTGGAAAAGAGGACCTGAGTAATGCTTCCTACCCAGAGGACTAAAAATGGAGAAATCCTTTCTAGAGAAGTTGGTAGGATTGAGGCTGTTCACTCAATTTTGTAGTAGTCAATTCTGCTAGAAGGACACATGTGCTTTCCAGGGAGGTATTTAAAGTTTAGTGCACAAGTTCTCCTAAAAGGAATCAAATCCTTACTTGTGATGCTCAGCATGGATTAAAAACTCTGCCCCTCCTCGTAAAAAGAGCTGCCAACAATCCAAAGGCCCCCAGCAATAAAATCTGTGCTAAGTTCCATAAAAATGGGCTGGATGAATAATGGATGTGGCACACTCACTCAGTGTGAATTCCCAGTGCAGGGGAGGCTTGCACAGCATTTACAGGCAGCAGGCTGCTCTCGGTGCTCCCAGGACAGGAGCCACCCCAGGTCTGGGAGTTTGGAAAACTCTGAATTCCCAGTGCAGGGGAGGCTTGCACAGGTATTTACAGTCAGCAGGCTGCTCTTGGTGCTCCCAGGACAGGAGCCACCCCAGGTCTGGGAGTTTGGCAAACTCTGCTGTGCCCCTCACTGCTCTGAAGCAGAGGTGCTGGGCTTTCCTTCCACAGCTGAGAACCACTACAAGATTACCAGCTGGTTAAAAGAAAGGCAGCTCTAATGCCTCAAACCAGAGACTGTGCAGATTCATATTCAAATGGAGATCAAAATAGCTTCACCAGGCAAAGGCTGGCAGCACGTGGATAGGAAGTGACTAAATAGGCAAAAAATAGGTGAGGAAAGGGAACTACTCCTAGTTCTGCTTCCACTTTTCAACAGATTTATTATCTTCCCCCCTCTGTTAGTCAGACATTGTATTTCCTATGTAAATGGTCAACATAATCAGCTTTCACACTGTACATTTCATCAGTACTAATTCCACTCCCCCACCAGCCAGAAGATTTCTCCTCAGCCTTACTCCTTGTGATAGCCCTCAATTCTAGCTGCACTGAGATGACAGCTTTATTTTCATCAACATCATTATTATTATTATTATATGAACTTTCCTCTTAGTGCACAGTAGCTTTAAATCAAGATAAATTCAACTTACTGATAATCAGTTGAGCTTCCCTTTCTTTTCCTATTACAGTCCATTCCTGAAGTGCTAAGGGAACTGGAGATCAAGTCAGCAGGGTCAGGTGACATAAAGTCACTAATTGTAGAAGATATGTCCATCCTTTGGTCTGCCATTGGACTGTCTAACATTAGGGAAGAAATTAAAAACAACCCCCCAAACAAAAAAAAACACTGCATTAATAGAAGCAGATATTTACATATTTTTAACCAAAAAAAGTTATCTCTAATTTAGCATTCTTAAAAAACTGTAACAGTCAGTTCCTATTTTTAACTCTTGCTGTAAAAATAACAGGAAATTTCTCCTTTTCCAGTCACTGCTGTATGGAGTATTGCACACAAACCATGACCATTCTCAAAAGACATTATGTACCACAATTGTTTTTAGAGATTTGTCAGAATGATCTTGAACTAAACCAGGTTTATGTTATGTTACATGGCCAGCCAATTGTTTCTACCTAACAAGAATATTTCTGACAAGAAACACTTGTTTCAGTGTTGAAGACCACATTAGAGTTCACCAACTTTTAAAGTTCCTATTTCCACTGAATTCAGAACATTTCCATAGAAATAAAAACCTCTGCACAGCAGACTCCATAAATAAAAACATTATAACCCAATGGTGGTCTAAGAAGTCAGGTTAAAGGTACAAATGAATCAAATTGGCTTTTTAATCCTCTAGACTGCAAATAATTCAAATCTTCACTATTTAATCCCCTAGACTGCAAATAATTACACTGCTGGAAGAAACCCTGTGAAAAGTTCCCTGCTAAATAGCACCAACTGTAAAAGACAAGAGGTTTTACCTGAAGGCCTGTCTTGGAAGCCTAAATCCACTTGGGCAAAGATGATGATGCTCAGCCCAAAGCAGCTGATAACCTTAGAATTCTTCCATGCCTCATGTTCTGTTGGTCAAATAATTCCAAAAACCTGAATGGGAGGAAAAACACCAAGCTTAAAAAAACACCTTAAAAACAATTGGTTTAAACACAGTTGACAAAAGCAATAGGTTTTGTTTCCAGCTCAAGGATCAAGTATTCATTTCCTTACAAAGTGTAGAAGCTTTATCCATCCAGCCAAAGGGTTATCTGCTGGGATGTGCATCTCCAATGGACCAAGCTCTGAGCAGAAGGGAGCTCTGGCACCACCTCCTTTCAGACCCATCCTCTGGACTTTGCACAAACCCCCTCTGCTCACAATGGTCCCACGATGCCAACCGTGAGCACAGTTGCTGTCAGATGCTGCCAGAAAGGGTTAAACTGCTGCCACAGTGCAAAGGACAGACTCACCCTTCACTCCTGACTGCCTGACTCTAAGGGTGGTCCTAAGTTTGGGCTTGGCTTACTGTTTTGTTTGCCAATGTAACAGCATTCGAAAGCCAGGGGTGAAATATCGTTTTATTCTGCAGGCTTCAGGATTTATATAAAATCTACATCCCACACTACAACTCAAGCCTCAAACTGTCTCCCAACTACACTACACACATGTGGGTGCCCCTCCCTTCCACACTTCTGTCACAGAACAAGTTCTTCAGCAAAACTTACTAGGGAAGACTTAGAAACTGTTCCACATTTTCCTCTTGCAAGAAAACTTCCAAAGTCCATTGGACACAGATTTCTGGCTGAGCATCCTGACTGCCTTTCCCAACCTGTGACAGCACAGCTTCCCAAGTACACTGAACAAGCTCCCATGACACTCTCAGAAGTTTACAATCCTGTCAACATGACCACAACCAATTCTGCTGAAGCATGTATGCAGACATGAGTTATTAGCCAAAAAAAAAAATAAAATCCAAAGTTGCTTTTTACCATTTTCTTCAGCTCTGCCAGAATAGCAGAATTCAGAATTTCACAAGCTTCAATTATCTAAATTTCTGCTCCTGGCAATGTAAGGTCAGGTAAGCCATTGTCTTGGTACCCCCAATGGAAAGAGGATCACTGCTGTTCCAGAGCACCCAAACTGCTGCTTGGGCTCATTGTACATCTCACCCAACAACTCCTCTGCTGCCCTCTCCCAAATAACCCAGCCCCTTTTCCATGTCTGACACTGTGTGGATGTACTGCTAGAGGCACATTAAGAGCCCAGCTGGCACCAGAACTGACCAAAGCTAAACCTGCACCAATTTAAGCCAAATTACGAAGTGCCATGGAATCCACAACCACATTTGCTTTCACTCACAGCTGTAGCTGTTCATAGGCCAGGCCCTACTGCCTCCCTGTGCCAGCCTTTTCCCAGCCTCTGCTTCGTCTCTCTCATCCCCAGCAGCCAAACAGCTACAGATAAATGGTGTTACTGTGCTGGATGAGCTTGCTGCAGCTCCATTTTCCAGTAAAACCAGTCACTGGCCATTGCTCAGACCCATGATCTTCAGCCTCAGCTGATGTGCAGAAATTAGTTTTAGCTAAACTCAGTGTGCTCCTGAACACCTCTGTATGTGAGGGTTCACATACAGATATATGAATGATATGATGACCTCAGACAGGAGGCTGGGATGAGATGGAATGAACAAATTAAAAAGGAAGTAGAGGAAAAAGGGTTTCTAGTTTTATCACAGTTCTCTCTCTTTAAGAATGCCTGCAACAGTCAGCATTTCAGCTTCAGAACCAGAACACTGCACAAGTCACTGTGCACTAATGCAAAAAACAAACTGTTGTTCATCTCAAAAGTTTCATATCAGTTTTATAGAAAAAAATCTTGAAATCAAGTATACAGTCAGCTGTGCTGTTTTATACCTGTCTGTATTTCATAGTTTCAAAGCAGCTATTTTAAGTGTCTTGACCATTTAAGCAGAAAAAAGTACACAAAGTGGAGAATTCTCAATTTATTTTCCAGTCAGCCCTTTCTCTACCATGTCCCAAATGCTCATCCAGTCCTAACAATCACAGTCCTACATTTTAGCATTACAGGAGTTAAGAACCATGAATGTCTCTTGAAATGAGTTCTAAAGTTAAGATGTCAACTCAATGATCAGAGCAAAAATCAGCATGTCCTACTAAATAACACAGTTCAGAGAAATGTGGGGTTTTTTTCACAAGGCTTTCTTAAAATTCTAGGAAATTGAATATTTTTCTGTCTTTTCAGCCTCCATCTGCTGGATGTTCAATACTTAAAAGAAATTCTCTCTGAAAAGAACACAAAAGTTACCCATGTAAATAAGCAAAGTTCAAACCTTCCATTTATGATGCCAAACCTGTTGCCAAAGTGTTCTAAGGACCTACTTGAAAAAAAATGCCATGGAGTCTACTTTCTGATTGAATTCTCCTGCAGAGGAGAATCAAATGGTATTTTGTCACTGTACCCAAGACAGTTTGTCTCTACAGCCTGTTTGGGATAATTCCTTGGCATCCCTATTCCCTGCATTCCACCTTTCTGCGATCCCCTGGAACAAGGCTAATGAGACAGCAAAAAGCAATCTTAGCAGAAGAAGTGAGATGGCACGTGACCAGCTTAATCATGCAGCAAAGCTGATCACGAGCACACAAACACCTCTGAGAAATCAAGGTCACTGCTAAAGTAGGTCAGCTCCACCAGCCAAGCACCCACCCGGAGTCAGGACCTCTTTCCACAAGCCCCAGCAGCTCTGGCTCCCCCAGGCAGCCCCGGCCAAGGCACACACACAGATTGATTCTGGAAGAAATGCCATTTGTAACTTTATGAATCACGAGCGTCTCGTGGCTCAAAAGCGCGATTTCGCAACGACGGAGGAAAACCGTGGCGCGGTTTCCTGCAGAAGTCATTGAAGAGATACTGGCTGTCCCTCTGGATAATGACCGAGCCAAAAACAGCTCTGAAAAGGAAATCATCTACTTCCCTTCGCAGCAGTGTTCCGTGGCTGCAGTTCAGTGTCACAGCACCAGCTGGTACAAAACACAAGGAGAGGTTCTCCACCTTCCCCAGTTTGCTGCTGCTGCTCCCCAGACGCTTGTGCTGGGTGATGGGGAGGTTCCAGCTCAGCAGCACGAGGGCTCCCAGTGTCCCCAGGATGATTTCAAGATGCAGACCAGCATCCACGGGCTCAGTGCTGCAAGCAACAGGCAGCTCCTACGTCAGAACATTTATAGGGAAAACTCCTCAGCAATCACAGGAAGATCCCTGAAGTAAAGCAGGGTGGTTTCCTTTGCCCTCAGTACTTAAGGAATACTTAAGTCAGAATACTTCCTATCTTTCCAATATATTGATACTGTGTGGTTTTAATGGCTCCCTAACACCATTTGCAAGTACTGTGCAGTCCCAGAGGACAAAAGCTACAAGATGAACAATTTTGACATGGAGGGGGAAAAAAAGTCTCCAATAAACAGAAGAAAAACTCCAGGTGCAGTTTCTGTGTAGATCTGTCCAGATACACTCCCACACCGAGAGCATCTGTTCATCACCAGAGTCTCTGAGGAAAGGCACAACAGGTCACATCATCACAGCTCTCCAGACTCTCACAGTGCTGAGACAGAACAATGCATTTCATCTTCACAGAACACCGAGAGCTCCAGACCAAGAGGGGTCTCGGCGCCCATCTCTCCTTGCTTGTGAGGGAAAGTACCTACAACAGCCTTTAATTCCAGCTACTTTAACAAAGGACTTCTCTGTTTTCTTCCCTCTGCCTCAAAACCACGAGTCAGTGCTCACTAAAATAACTTTCTCTTGCACGGGGGAGCTCAGAGCTCAGCTCAGAACACAGAAGTGTCCCAGCAGTGCTGAGTACATGGCAAGGAAGGAAGGATCACTTCCCTCAGCCCAGCACAGCTCCTGGTGCAATCCAGGAGGCTCCTGCCCTCCTCTGCTCCAAGGGCACCCTTGCTGGCTCACAAACCATCAATATCTTTTCTGCCAAGCTCTTTTCCAGCTGGTCAGTCCCTAACCTGTACTGAGACGTGGGGCTTTTCCCTTTCCAGGGGTAGGACTTGGCATTTCCCTTTGCTAACTTCCTCGGGTTCTTTCTAAGATTTTTGGTGACCCTTTTCTCTGGTCTGCAGAGATCCCCCTGCTTGGCAGCACACTCATGTGGGGTCTCAGACACTGCTCCCAGTTTGCATTTGTCTGCAGCTCTAAGCAGAAATTCCAGACAGCGTGGAAGGAAATGAAAACAGGCTGGTTCTGCAAAGGGAATTAAACAACTTCCAAAAATCCTAGCTCGTGCTCTTAGTGAAGCGGATAAATTCGTGTTTCAAGGGGGTGTAGTCACACAGAAGTCACACATGGATAGAAGGATGGATCACCTTCGAAGCAGAAAAGGAAAAATGGATCAGAACCAAAGCCAACCCATGACACTTCCAGGAACCAAACCCGTTTAGACCAGCTGTGCTATGGATGAAGTATTTCCCTCCTTAGCAGGGCACTGGGACAGACTGCAGTGACAGAGCTCAAGGCCTAGCTTACAGTTCTACAGAACAGTCACGGCAGACATGATCAGAACCAGCATCCTGATTATCCAGGTCCTGATTATCTGGTCCTCAGCCACAGGAGAGCCCATTTCCCCTCACATCTCAGTGTCTGCCCCTCTACCTGCCCGCTGAATCCCAGCTGCAAGAGTGTTCCAACACAGCTTGCTAGTTTGCAACCATTACTGAAAGCTTGATCTAGTGTAAGCTCCTCGTCAGCCAAGATTAGACTCTGGGAGCTCTCATTCTTTGAAGTGAGCTTATGCTGCCCTGTTTGCATATTTCATTCTGGGCAGCCACCAAAAGGAAACATCACAAGGGAACTAATGGAGCCCTTGTGAAAAGGTGGTGATGCACGCTCTTGGAAATCAGTACCAACACGCTGCTGTTACCAAAGGAATTTGGCCTGCCTCAATAATCAATCTGCCAGCACATGCACTGCTCAGGTTCCAAGAAACTGCTTCCACAGGGGAAACAGAAAGGGACCTGCCTTTCTTGGAAGGCCAGGTTTGAAGGGATTTATGAAACCCCTACACATGAAGCAAAGTGTAGCCTCTC